TTTTTTTTTTTTTTTTTTTTTTTTTTTTTGGGACAATTCTCCAATCTATTCGTGGGGAGCAGCACGTGCTGGGAACCGGGCCCAGCGTCCCATATAGAGTTACACAAATCATTTGAGATACCAGGGCCATTACCCGACTTCAGCTGAGGATCAATCTAAGAACTGTTGAGAACTATTAAGGAACTTCAAGAGTCTAAGAACTATTGAGAACTGTCAAGGGAAAGGTCTAGTCACCGCAAAAACACACCACCACAGAAGACCTACAAATTCACAAAATATGAGGACTGTTGAGAACTATCAAGAGAAGGGAATGGTCACCGCTAAAACACACCACCACAGAGGACCTACAAATGCTCAAAACCCTGTGTATCCCTAGCAACTTTTTTAGAACTCTCCACCCTGTCTTACTCCCTGCCGGACTCTTCCAGGCCTCACACCCCCGCCTTGCTGGGTTACATGGCAAAACGACTCACCCCAACTCCGACCAGCGTCATCCCAGCAGCAACCCTTGGTTGTCTCTTGGAATGTCCACCCCAAAGCACCCCCAGATCTCTCTACCAGGCCTCACACTCCTGCATCAGCACGTTACAGGGCAACACCCCAACTCCGATCAGCGTCGTTCTGGCATCGAACAACCGCAGATCAGTGAGTATATCATTAATGAGCCGTCTGAGATGGGTTGAACCATTTAGTAACCTACATAGCACTGATTATATCAGCTATGGAGCACTTGAACCATTTAGAAAATTATTGTGATGAAATTCAGAACTCCGGAAACGATACTGAAACCTACTTTTAGGCATCGGAAATCAGAACCAAATTGTATCAGAAGTCGAGAAAAAAAGTCAAGATCATCAGATCAATGATAAAAGAAACTACAAAGTGACAAAAAAACAAGAAATTATACTAGATTTAGGTTTAGATATCCATCACGGATTTTTGAATCAGCTTCTTAAAGCACGATTTGAGAAAACGTCCTCAGCAAAGTTGTATGACACAAAGTTTAAGAAATTACTTTCAAGCAACCCTGTTATCGAAGAGAACCACCACCAGAAAAATTGAGGCAAAGTTGTATAACACGAAAAAGTTTAGGAGAAAACTTTCAAGCAACCTTATTATAGTATTATCAGAAAAACAACCATCAGAAAAACGAGATCATCAGAGATTTCTTTTCTGGGGATTATATATCTTATTTAGATTAATAGAATTAAAAAAACAAAGGTGAGTGTGTCATGTTAAAAAAGCGAAGAACAGGCACCTCCATGAATCCTTTTCTCCCCTCCCCTCCTCTCCCCCTTCACTCGCATGTGACGTCACCCCTACCTCGCGGGAACCATCGCCCTCGCACCCCTCGACATCCCTACCCATCAAAACGGGGTGCACGAGGCATCTAACACGTAGCATAGGGAGACCTCATCGGAGCCGCTCACCAATCACATGGAGCAGCAACCCCTCCCCGATCTCAACCCCGCCAGCCTGTGACGCAGGCAGATCGCGGCACCAAGCAAATCCCCAACGCCTACCAACCAATGAGAAGATCCATGGAGAAATACCATCGTGAACACACTTACCTGTCCAACCCACACTCCTCTCGATCCATCACCCTCACCTTTGCTTTCAACGCTGATGGTGCTGGCAAATCATACCCATCGCGGCTCTTCACTATCACCTCTTCATAGCAAACCCACCCTGCACGCGCGATGCACCACTCCCATCACCGTCCACCCCATAATCATCACTCAAAGCCTCTCCCTCCACCTCACGCCACCGCAAACCCTCTCTCCCGTCATCGCGCTGCTCCACCACTTGTCGCCTCCCAGCGCCACATGACTTCGCGCCGCTCCACCGCTGTTACCACCCGGTGCCGCTCGGCTCGATTGTGTGGACGGGGCGCAGCACTCCCGGTCGTGCTGCGCCCTCCACCAATACATGGATGAATCTATCCTCTGTCCGAGGAGCTTAATCCATCAACCGCATGAGGCTTCATGACTCTAGCTTGTAGGATCTTCTGTAGATTTGTCTAGCGGGCCACTTCATCATCACTCAAGTGTGTTGGAGTAGCAGCCTTGGGCAACACCGCAGAATCATTCGGCGTTGGTGCCTCCACATCGTTGAAGAATGCAACCCACATGTCCAAGTACCCTGCCAAGCTTCCCGTGCTCTTCTTCTTCGTGATGTCCAGCAACTGAAGATTCCAGTGGATGTGCACTAACTTAGTGAGGCTATCAGGCAACAGCAGAGCCCTTCTCTTGTCGTGGACAAGATCGAGAGAGGACCCGTTCCTCTCACAAGGGTTCGCAGTGCTCCACATCGTCGTCACCCTTACGGCAATGTCTCGCAACTTCTTATGAGAGACCCCATGGAGGTTCCACCATTCGGAGGTTGTCATTTGAGCAACGGAGCTGTCGAACTTCGCAAAGTCGATCCACAAACTCTCCTCTACCACCTTCCCTGTAATTGAATCCTTCACCAATATGTCTTTTGTTGGCTCCTTGTGGAAAGCTTGCAAGTCCGCCCATAGATCTAGTTGCTCCTTGCATCCCCAAGTAGCCTCCTCTTTGCACTGTGATAAGAAGAACTTCGGGTTGTTTGGGACCAGCGGGGAGTGCAAATCCATCAACCACTTGTTGTCTCTCCTCCTTGGGACAAGGAGAACGTTTGCTGCATAAACATGCTGCCTCATCATCTTCGTGCGCTGGTCAACTGCCCTCATGATCCCCTGCCGCTGGTCATCGGTCAAACGCGTAAGTGTCTTCAGACGCTTGCCCAACCCTTCGTCGAAGTGCCAAAGGGTCGGGGGGGCTGTGTCGTTGCGGTCCATCTTCCTTAATAACTCGTACATCGGCTCCAACACATCCAAAGTCGTGCGAATCATCTCCCATCACTCAGGCGTAGTAATAGTCTACTGATTCTAGTACGTCAGGTCGGACTTGTCCCGATCTTTCCTTGTGCACCATCTCAATTGCCTCCACCACCCGTCCGTCATCTCCTCAAACACACACCTCCTTCCCCAAAAGCGGAATATCATTATGTACGCGGAAGCAAACCGGACCTCCGTAGGCAAAATCAAGGTCAGTTCCCTAGAAAGTGTTGAGCACCTCGTAATACTCGTATAAAAGATGACGTTGTTATGGTGTTTCCTTATGAACCTGACCATCATTTTCGTGCGCTGCACCACTTCCTTCACCCAGTCCAACTCGCAAATATCCTTCATCAACAAGTTGAAGCAGTGAGCTCCGCATGATACCCATGAAATGCTTCATATTTCATGATCTGTACGCCTTCGCAGGATCCGTGCAACTTATTTGTTAGCTTCGGCATTGTCTGTGCAGATTGCATTGACCCGATGCACCCCAATGTCCCTAATCATCTGCTCCCACATTATCGCCAAAGCGACTGCGGTCTTCTTCTTCTTCGACACATCCATGACCTTCAAAAGGATTGCACCGCTTTCGCCAGCCCCGATGAAGTTCATCACTGGTTTGTACCTTTGATCTGTGCAGCCATCAGTGAGGAAGGTGCAACCTGTGTTGTCCTACTTTGCTTTCAATGGATGCATGTCTTCCTGCACCTTGTTGTTGATGATGTCCAAAACAACAGTTCGAATGACCTCCAAGGAAGGCATCTTCACCCGCTGTTTGTTCTCCCCCAATCCAAGGTACAAATCATGCAGCTCCTGTGTCTCTTTCGTCCTCACATAGTTGAATGGGGCGTCGTGTCGAAAAAGGTGCATCCCCCATGCCACCTCCAATCTTTGTTGTGAGTCCTTCGTTGCCCACCTTTTGATCGATGCTTGTGTAAAGTTCCCGGATTTCTAGCCCACAGCAGATCCTTGTGAAGACGTCCTTGACATTCCAGCACCTTCTTCCACAACACCCTCTCTTGCCTCTTCATTGACATCTGCGGTCGGTGTTGTTTTGCTCCGCCGTGCTATCGGTGGCACTGTGAACGCATCCAATGTGTGCCTCCACCTCCAGAATTGCGGGAACGTCCAAACCATCTTGGGGGATGTTGTGCTCCATCCGATACAATTGGATGAGGCGCAACCTCTTCTCGCAGTCAATCGCATGCCCCTTGGCAGCAAGGATGTGAAGCATCTCCGGATAACGCGCGGGGCATAGATTAGTTTTCCATGTGAAATGTGGCCGCACACGCGTGTATGATGCGACCCAATCTCCGTCGTACAAATTGCACTTCACTCTGTACTGCCCCTTTCACAATGGCGGGACCATCTGCCCCGGTGCACCCACTTGAATTCCACCTTCATCGCCTGCAGCTGCAACTGCCTTGCCTCAGGCTGTTGCTGAAATGGTTCTTTCACGTGCGTGGCTCTATCATCTGAACCCGCCACCTCCTTCCCCCGTGAAGTGCCTGCCCCGCTTGAAGATGCCATCTTGCATTAGGTTCTCGAACGAAGAGGGGAAGAAGAAGAAGAGGAAGAGGGAGGAAGAGGAGGAGGAGGAGGAGGAGAAGAAGAAGAAGAAGAAGAAGAAGAAGAAGAAGAAGAAGAGGGAGAGCTTGATTTGAAAAAAAAGAAAAGTAATCGCAGAGCAGGTTGAAAGCCTGACACAGTGGCACGTCAAAAGACGTAGGTTGTGGTGGTGAGGGAAGGAGTCGATGGAGACAAAGAGGTGGAAGGAGAAGGAAGAAGACGAAAAAAGAAGAAGAAGAAGAAGAAGAAGAAGAGAAGAAGAAGAAGAAGAAGAAGAAGAAGAAGAAGATATATATATATATATTTTTAAATCGCAAAGTCAGGCTGACAGCCTCACACAGTGCCACCTCAAAGGACGGAGGTTGTGCCCCTACCATCGTCATGCACAAGCCTTGGTGACGGGCAGGATCGTTGTGCGCCTTGCAGTATTACCGTCCGCATTGCTGAGAGTGAGCAAAGAGAATCTTCGTGGAACATCTTGGATCCGTTGGGACATCGCCGCATAACGCCAGGAGCAGTAAACCAATCTGCATCCCTTTTGTCCCCCCACCTGCCCCCAACCGCCACCCTGTGCCATACCACCCCATTGGATAAGATGTGTGCACCCCTCTGTTATTTGTCTATAGAACCTAGGCTATGCCTGATCATGGTTCCTGTCCCTTTCGGTACGATATGTGGGAGGTTTAGTTCTCTGAGGATCCAGCATGATAGAGGCTGGTGAAAAGTACTTACGAGTGTGTTCCATCGCCCTCTTAAACGTGTGTCGACACTCAGAAGCCGCTCGAACGAATTGGGACCTATCCTCTCTTCTTTATTGTTCTTCCCCGTTTTTGTTATTTGATTTTAATGCTGCTTCTCTATATGGATTAGTCCTTCATGGGTGCTCACCTCTAGTGGTGCCCTGTTAAGTTTCATCGATTATCTACGGTACTTTTGTGTTGCGTTTTGTTGTTGATGTTTGTTGTAGGCTTTTTTGTATGCTTCACCGTTGGAGTTCTAGCGATGTGACCAATCATATACGTCAGGATGGGTCTATTGATCGTTCTCCACTAGCGCTCGTCGTCGTGCTGACTTTTATGGTGTACCTGGCCTTCTTGTGATTTCCGAATTACCAGGCGATCCGATCGTTGCATTGCTTCAAGCTGACATTTCGTTAAAATTGATATTTTTTACTATTTTCGCACAATCGAAGTCCTTATTTTATGTCCAGAACAAGCTTTTTTTTTAATAAATGTTACATATATGATCCTATGGTACTATGCTGCACATGTGCAAATTTTATGTCAGTTTTGTTTGCTTTTCTTTAGTTTGCTCTTTTTTAGTGACTCGACCATTAGTTTACCTTCAAAATTAGTAAGTTTTCTGCAACGTTGCTCGTGTCCATAATTTTTTGTGTCGTGTACTTGTTGTTATTATTTAAAGTTTTCTTGCTTTTTTTTTCGTGCATATATCCACTTCACGTGTACAGAGCACTTCGTGCTTTGTTTTTTTGGCCTTTTTGTACTTTTCCCTATTTTTTGTGCGACAATAGCTCATTTTATTCATTATTTCTGTGTTCTTTTCGAAATATTTTGTTTATTTTGTTTATTTTATTCATTATTTTGACAGTTTCCCTATTTTTTTTATTTTTTTTTATTTTGTTTATTTTGTTTATTTTGTTACGATCCTGGTTATTTCCCAAGTGCAAATTCACAATGAAAGACAATGTTACCCAATTGCGAAAGAAATGAAAGCACTTAAGAGAGATAAAGACCGGAGGAGAGGTAAAGAAGAAGAAGAAGAAGAAGAAGAAGAAGAAGAAGTACACCAGCAAGACCAATGACAATTCCCCCTTCTCTCTCCACCTTCCTCCTTCCTCCTTCTCTTCAACAATCTTATTCTTCTCTSAACAATAATAATAACAATRAATGGATGAACCAGAATCAATGTCCGAAGTTCCCCCTTACTGCTGACCCAACTCACAACAACAACAACAACAACAACAACAAGTCCACCATGGCTATGTCTTCCCTCCTTCAACCTCTTCTCTCAAGCATGGGCCATGGCGGACTACTGGAAGGCAGCTATGATGCTGCCTTGATGCCCGAAAGACAACTCAAAGCAGCTATGTCGCTGTTTGACTTGGTTCGCTATGCCTGACCCTGCCTCGAGCTGCCCTAGTGCAGCGTTACCCCAACTGGGGCCTTCCGGATGCAGCGCCCAACAAGGTAATGAAGATGGTGTCCACCGTAGCCAGGTAAGTGCCCCACCACTCTCCTACCATGTCCCCCTTCTTCCTCCTTCAAGCTGGGGTGCTCGCCATAGCCAGGCTGAGCCCCAACAAACCTTCACCTCCAAGCAGCGCTGCCTCAGACCAGCGTTGCGCTCCAGCAGCATGTCGCCAATCCTTGCATACCGCAAATGAGGAAGAGCTCACCGCTCTTCCTGAAGATATAGCGGCCTACCGACTTCCTGGGCGGTGATTTCCTAGGCCAAGCGGCCTCCCAGCAACCGGTACCTCCTCCCTTTTGGAGGGAAACATCATTGCAGGCTTTGTTATTGTCCGCACAGGCCCTAGACCCGAGCTACTTGGACTGGTACCGGCCTACCTCCAACCTACCGCTACTGGGCCTCTAAAAATGCCAACTTTTTGTCTTCTTCTGCTCGGCCTACCTGCTACTTGAGTGTTTTTTTCCCCAGCTGCTCCAAGTGCCATGGGCCTACTCCACGCTACCGGCATGTTTACCCCCCTGCAACCCTCCAAAGTCACGGCCACAGGTAAGTACCGGCCCGGTGGGCCTTGCAACCAACAAGTACCCTGGCGCGTTACACACATACCCAACCAGCAAGCACTCAGACAGGCATGCAACCCAGTAGGCACGCACACACACACATCCGGCAAGCACTAAGTCAGGCATGCAAACCAGCAGGCACGCACACACACAGACTTGGGACCACAGCAGAATGCAGGAATCGCAGCAAGGGATTCATTCCATTGTCAAATTCCAGAAATCAGGAGCGTTCTCAGTCTGTGTTTTGGGCGGGTCATGGTGTCCGCGATGAAGAAGAAATTTGAAGGTCTTGTATTGACCCCTCTTGACCGTAACAGAGGGGAAACTGTAGTCATGTGCCCTAAGATTTACTACGAGGCCATGATGCAGACTTTCGTCTTGAACCAAGGTTACAAGATCATTCAGGTCGAGGAATACGAAGTACTAAGAAATCAGGGAGGATGTGTATGCAACAGGTTTAAGGAAATTTGCAAGATGGGATGGTAAAGGGCGTATAGGATCTGCTTATGTTATTCCAAAACATAAAGACTTGACTCGATATCGCCCGATCTGCCCTGCGTATGTTGAACCTATGGTACGAACAGGTAGGATAGTCGCTAAAAAAATGAATTATATGCTATCCAGACTGCCACGAGATTGTCACTTCAACCTGCCTGCTGTCTCACAGTTGA